TGGCACCATGAACATAATGTGTGTTGCCACACTGTGTGGTGGATTTAAACATGAGAAGTTCGTCTCTGTTTTTGTTGTTGTTGTTGTTGTTGTTTTTGTTTTTAAATGAAGAGCTGGAGAGATGGCTCAGTGGTTAAGAGTACTGGGTGTTCTTTGAGAGAACCCACATGATGGCTCATGACTCCAGTGCTGGGGATCTGATGCCCTCTTCTGTCCTCCATGGGCACCAGGCACACAGGTGGCACACAGACATACATACAGGCAAAACACCCATATACATAAAATAAGTAAGAAATATATATAAAAGAAAACTACCAAGCAGGTGACATCAAGATGTCCGTACATCCATAGGGTTTCTGCGCTGTTGGAGAGTCAGGTCCCCCGCAAAATGCCAATAACCACCCCCCTTCAGGGTGTGGGATGTCACAAGGAGGGTTTGTGAGCTGCACAGTGGACTGGCCTATAGAGACCTCTCCCTGCTGGGATGCCCATGGTGTGATGCCCCTCCTCTAGACCCCTTCCCCACTAGAGGGTGTGTCTTGTGTCTTCCCTGTAGGTACCATCCTGTTCTTTAGGTAGCAATCCTGGGCCCTTGGTTCTTCAGGCTCAGACAGCCCAGCCCCCAAGCCCCACAGCCTCCAGTTCTCCACTCTGCCCCATCCCTGGCACCAACTACAAGAGGTCTGTCACCAGGAGACAGCTGCTGTTCCTGAGGAGATTGACTGACCGCAGTGTTCCCTGGCCCGTTGGGGTGCAGATGTCCAAGCTGATAACCCTTCCTGGGGACTGCGTTGTGGGCAAAGGGCCAGAGATAAGGCAGAGTGACAGACTTCCTGCTGGGGCGATGTGGCCAGGGGCAGAGTGGCCAGAGGAACCTGGGCCTCCCACCAACCTCTGCCTGCTGGGAAGCCGCCCTGGGCTTAGGACAGGATGCTCCCTGAAGCCCTCTTGGTCAGGATTTAGGTAGGGCGAGGAGGGGCACCAGCCATTTGAGAAAAAAGCAGTGAGCTCTACCCTCTGCCAGCTGTGGCCGCCCCGGTGTTGCGGGAAGGAACGAAGCCGCAGTCCTTACCCAGGGCCAGCAAAGCAGCAGCGGCTGCTTCCTACACATTCCCAGCACTGTCTCAGGTGCCCGCCACCATGTTCTATTATTCCTTCTGCTTTTCAGATGGGGAAACTGAGGCACATGGAGATTATATGACTTGTTCTAGGCCACACAGCTGAGAGGAATTTTTTGTTGGTTCTTTTGTTTTAAGACCGTCTCACCAGGTAGCACTGGCTGCCCTAGAACTCAGAGATTTTCCTGCTTCTGCCTCTGGAGTGCTAGGATTAAAGATGTGTACTACCATGCTGGGCTAGCCTTGAATTTTAACCGGCATCTCTTCCCAGGGCTGTTCAGCAGCCAGAAGCCCAAACCTGAACCCCTGGTTAAGAACCATTATTAGGCCGGGTGTTGGTGGCCCATACCTTTAATCCCAGCACTCGAGAGGCAGAGGCAGGTGATCTCTGTGAGTTCGAGGCCAGCCTGGTCTCCAGAGCGAGTGCCAGGATAGGCTCCAAAGCTACACAGAGAAACCCTGTCTTGAAAAACCAAAAAAAAAAAAACAAAACAAAACAACAAAAAAAAAAAACCATTGTTAGGAGGGGAGAGAAGAGGCGAACCCAAGCCATGAAGGACTGTGGGCACTGTGCCCGACCACTCTGCATGAGACACCCAGAGAGAGACAGACACCTCTAGTCCTCTGCCATTCCCCAAAGCCCCTTATCGTGGATGGCTTCTAAAGGGGCGCCCTATCATAAACAGCCACTCACACACCACCCCTGCCCCTGGCCCGCAAACATTCCATAATCAGAGTAACCAGAATTCCAGAACTCAAAATCAAAACGGAAAAGCAGGCAGGCAGGATGGGGTTTCCACTGAACACTCCCCACTCAGTGGATGTTATGTAGGGCCCAACCTGCTCCACAGCATGGAGAACCACACAGAGCGAGCAGCACAGGCTGTTGCTGGGACACGTGTCCTCCGCTTTCCCTGCTGTTCTGTCCCCTCCCACTCACCCCTCCCACCTCCTGCTCTCTGCCCAGCAGGCCCTCCACCCACAGCAGAGGGCAGGGGCACCTGTGGCTTGGCAGGGCTGGGTGCCAGGGGCCATGGCACTCTCCTTCTCCTTCTGGGCTTGCCTCCAGCTCCCAGCCCACTGTGGTGACAGCCTGCCTGCCGTGGCTCAGAGAACAGAGTCAGAACTGTGTTCTGATGGCCCCAGCCAGGACCACACGCCTGGCAGGCAGGCAGGCAGGGACCAGAGCCCCAGCCCACAGTGGCCCACACCACCCAGCCACAGACTCTGTCTGAAAGCAAACCTACCATTAGGGAGATGAGAGGCAGTACTCAACCTCCACCTTCACCCAGTCCAACCTTTGGAGTGACCATCCCCAAGGAAGACACAGGACCTGAAGACCAGGCCAGCAGTAACTCAAGGGCTTGGGGTCCTGAGAGGTAGCTCCATGTTGGCACCTGAAGGGCTTCCCAGGAGAGAGGACATGACCTCGGGCTGTTCCTCATAGAAAAGGCATACAGATCAGGAGTTGTGGGGTGAACTTCGTTATGATTCAGGGCACTGCTGCTAAAGCCCAAAGAAGAATATGAGGGCCCAGAGGGGGCCACCATGGTGGATAACTGGTCCCCAAAGAAAATTCCAGCTTCTATCTCCTTTTAATGAGCCTCCATTTCCACCTCTATCAAGAGGGGGTCATGGTGGAGCTGAGGCTCCCAGAGTCACTGCAAGATAAATACAAGCTCCGGATAAATACAATTCCCTCCCTAGGTTGTGCTGGGAAGGGATAAAGAATTGGGCTAGGACTGCCTCTGTGAAGCAGGGGTGGCTTATATGACAGCCTGCTATCTTGGTCTGGCTTCGGATGTCCAAAGTGTTTTCAGATCCAGCTTCCAAGCTGGCTAGTCCCTTCTCTCAAGCCCTGGCCAACAACCAACACACTCAATGCTTGGTCCTGTGAGGCCCATTCAGGCCCATGAGACTGGGGTGGGGGCAGGGCTGGTGTTATGCCAACTGACTGTCTTGACACTTGCTGGCTGCTCTTTATAAAGAGCCAGGTTTCTCTTGTTGGCTCTCTGCCAGGTGAGACTCAGTAGTGTCCTTCTCCCAAGGGCAGTGCTGTCCCTGTGTTTTCCCTCACCTGTGAAAGGTCAGACAAAATCAGAGGGACTGGGAGGGGGTTTAGAAAGTGACTCTTGCACTCAAGAGCCACTGGGTAAGGGCAGTACAAGAACAATTCAGGAAGCTGGAAGCGAACAGACGTGAGCCTATCAGGGGTCTCACCCACAAAACAGTAGGGACACTGCCAACTCTGCTATCGAGGGAAGAAGCCCAGAGAGGCAGGAGGACAGCTGTGTCACACAGCTTTCTGTGGTAAACCCAGGACTTACACCTCAGCCAGCATGATGTTTTCACCACGATGTTCTGGTGGGGAATCGGGCCTCCACAGTCTTCTGAGCCCCACAAGGGAAAGCAAGGTGCCACCATCATCAAGACGACAAGCTTATCAGGATCTCTTCTGTCCTCACCCACCTTATCAAAGCCATTGTCTCTGTCACATTCCCTGCGGCCCAGCAAGGCAGCCACCCAGCTACAGGATACACAGGTGACACACTCACCAAACCACCATGCTGACATGGGTTGTAGTTTGTCCACAGTTCTGACTAATATTCTCATCTGGTCACAGCACCTGGGTGCCTGCCAATGTGCCCAAGGAAGTCAGGCAAGGGCCTTTTGCCTTCATAGTTGAGGGAAACATGGAATTCAGGAGGTGCAGGAGTCTAGGCACAGAAACGACAGAAGGGCCCAGGAGGAACTGGGGAGAGGCCACCCTTTGCCTACCGGAGGCCAGAGCTCAGCACCTCTCTTCTGAGGCAATCCAGGACCACACAAGCAGTGACCACCTAGAGGCTGGGGATAGGGCCAGTGGCCAGCTAGGTTAGCCCAGGCAGGAAGACAGGGCCAAGGACAGGACAGGCAAAGGGCCACTGCACAAAGAAACAGTCAGTGCCACCGGCTCTGTCCAAGTCCCAGTGCCCCAGATGACCACATGCCTGACCTACAAGAACATAGAACTGCCCCCCTGGAGCCGCCAAACATTGCCACCATTGCTAACATACACCCCACCCCCATAGACACCCCAGTGGGGCTCAATCACCTTGAATACTTTCAGGGAAGGGTCACTCACTACCTCAAACAACCCTGTAAGACAGGTAGAATGTGTCCCCTTCATGTTGTAAACTGCACTCCACACAAGGGAAAGAAGGGTCAGAACCAGGGCCCACCGCAGCCTGGGTCCCCCACAGTCATCACTGCTGCCACCTGTGAAACTCAGTGTGATGAAGTTTGCACCTGACATGGGAGCAGAAGTACCAGGACCTCAGAGTCACCTGCACCAGACACCTGGGCCTCGAGCACACCTCTGACCCTCCAGGGGCTCTGCAGCCCAGGTCTATACGGTTCTAATCTTGGTCTTCCTGCTTCTAGAACAGCAGGTGGCCTGAGAGATGGGTCAGCCTTGGTTTTTCACCCAGCTCTGCCCCAGGCTGACACACTGTGGAACTCAATGGCCTCATGAGCTGGGAGCACACAGGCAGGCCTGAGGGCAGGCTTGGTGCCTGGGTCAGCTCCAGATCAGCTATGGGTGTACAGGGTGAGAGTCACATGCCTCTGGGCAAGGTCAGCTCAACACCCCACCACACCCCTCAGAATGTGTTAGGCTGGCTATGGGTTCCCAAAGCACTGTCTCTTGGGCCAGCACTCATATCCCATGTGTACTTTGGTGTCCCTGAGCCAGGACACTGCCACTGCTGAGTCAGGGCTCCTCCCTCTGTCACCCCACATCTGACTGCAGGCCTCAGTGTCTGGGCACCAGTCCCGAGACCCACACTCGCTCCTCCAGGCTGGAGTGGCCTTTCCTAGAGACTCACTGTGGTGGAAGAACTTTCCTCCTGAACTCCTCTGGTCTATGCAAAGTGACTGGCCCAGCCTGCAGCCTAGCCTGGCTTCAGTCATGGGAAATGTGGGTGGACTGGGGTAGGGCCCCCTTCTCTATGCCTCTCCACTCTCCTCCCTCAATCCCTGAATTCCTTTAAGAGCTAAGTTCACACTCGGAGCTAGAGGCAAGCTTCTGGCCCGCAGGCCTCCTCCTGTTCCCCAGCATCCCACCTGGCACAGCCCCTGCGGCTGCTTGTGGGAGCCAGGCCCTCCGTGGTGGCAGCCATTTCCCAATAGTCTTGATTAGTCTGGCAGGACTCGGCTGACTAAGAAATTTACTGCACAGAGAAGGAAGGCTATCCCCTGGAGAGCAGGGACCACCCAGAGGGGTCACCTGGACAGCTCTCATTCACATAACAACTCTGCACTGGTACCACAGGATGTCAAGATAAAGGTCAAGGGTAAAAGAAACAACTTCAGGGACAGGGTGCCAGGAATGTGTGTCTGTGTGTGCATAAACGTGCCAGACAGGGAGAAGGCTCAGAAGAGAAATATGTACTGAAGAGGCGGCTCCATGGAGCAGGAGACTGGGTGAGTGGTGGGCTCTGAGGGGCTCTCCAGGGGGCTGAGGTGGCTCCAGGCCAGAGGGCCTAGTGCATTCTCTTTGCTGGGGAGGTGTGGAGATGTCCATAGGGGACAAGGGGACAGTCCATTGGCAGGGAGGAGGGATAGGAAGCTCTATCACCCTGGGTCTAGGGTCTTGGGTCTTTCCCCAAAGAACCTCCTCTCTGCCCTATTCAGCTGGCAGGGCCCCATTCTGAGCTCCCTAGAGCCCTCCAGCCACACAGTGCATTCTCTGTAGCCTGTTCTTTCTTGGAGTCCTTCTCAGTGCATTTGGAGGGAAAAGGAGCTAAACCTTGCGGAAGGTGGAGACCAGGGCCCAGCTGCTTTGTAGTATAAGCTGCCCCCGCAAACCACACAGAGGGTGATCTGTGAGGAGAGGAGTAGAAGCTGGTTCCTGGGGTTAACCCCCACCCAGTCCAGGTGTTGGGCTGCTTTGGTGGCTGGCTGTGCTCTATTGCACCCCCTCCTGGGCCAGTAACAAACTGCACCCACAGCTTCTGCCTGGGATGGGCAATAATCCATCCTCCACCCACCTGCTCAGCAAAGTAGCCTGGATAGTGGGAATTGAGGGGTCCAAATGCAGGCCAGTCTCACAGCAGCAGCTACAAGGTAGACCTAGCACCCTGGAGTTCTGGAGTGACACTTCCCGTCCACTCTGCCCCTCCCCACTCTATCTTTCACTGATGCCAGGAACTCTGTACATTTGGGGACCAAAGACATTCAACCCAGCCAGGGCGACTGGTATGGAATGCCAGCCAGTAGGCTTTAGAAGACACCACTTCATCCTGAAACTGTGAACAGAATGCCATCTCGTGGGGCAAAGCAAACCTCATGGCTATAGATGAGACACAAACCCTAGGCGGAAGGAGAATCCAGATTAGCCTGGTGGGTCTAGTGGGGGCTTAGAGTTATCACAGTGTGTTTGGGGGGGTGCTGTGGGAGAGGTGGAGAGATTTAAGGAAGGGGCCACAGGCCAAGGACCTCTGAGGCTTCCAGAAGCTGGGGTAGGGGGGGAAGCAGATCCTTCCATAGAGCACGTAGGAGGAAGCAGCCTGCGAGGTCTTAACCTGAAACCTAGCTGAGACCTCTGACCTCTAGCCTAAAGGGAAGAAGCATGTTTGGAGTCACTAGGTTCCAGGTGACAAGTGACAGCAACCACAGGAAAGCGGTGTGACAGGAAGAATGCTGTTCCCAGACTCACCCCATATGGTTCACAGCCATCACTCAATACATACTCCTCCACAAGTATTTGGAAGAACTCGGAATCTATCACATCCTTGAAACAAGCTCAGCAGTGACCTTGAGGTGAGGTATAATCACTAGGTCCTCTGTTTACTGTATATTTATTTGTGTAAATGGACCACCTTTGTGAAGTCCTCCTTAAGGCCAGAAGAGGGCGCCAGATCCCCGGAAACTGGAGTTTCATGAGGTTGTACACTATCTAATGTGGGTGCTGGGAATTGAATTCTGGGTGCCCTCAATCTATCTTTTCCACTGAAAATTTCTATCTCCAACCCTGTGGGACAGAAGTTCCGGCTGACAGCAAGTGTCGCCTCTGGGCCGCAGCACACATAGGTCATCAGGACGTCACTGGGACTGAGCCAACACTTGGGTTATCATTTCCAGCTACCCACACCAAATCCCCTTTCCTCTTTGTTTCATGAAAATCGAAACTGGTGGCAGGCACACCAGCCAAGGAAGTGGAGAAAAGACAGTAGATCCCCATGGGTAGGAGCCATCACAAAGGAAGGCAGGTCCACCAGGGATGAGGACACAGGTCTGCCATCTCAGGAGACTTCCGCAGCAGGACCACAAGTTCAAGACCAGCTTGGACTAAAGAATGAGAACTCAGCTTAGCAAGAGAAAATAATTTTTAAAAGAGGACGTGAGCTCAGGGGAGGGGCATCAGACATTGGTGCTAAGGACACTGACAAGTGGCCAGTGTTCCCCAAAGTCCTCAGGGAACATCCCAAAGTCAATGTGTTCATCAGAACCCAGGTCCAGCTGAGCATGGTGCACATGCCTGTCACCGTAGCTCTGGAGAGGCTAAGGCAGGAGGGTGGAGAGTTCAGGCTAGCCTGGGCTACATAGGCAGACCCTGTGTCAAAACAAAATGCCCACTAAAACGAGAAGGAAGGAGAAAAGAAGGGAAGGAGGGAGGGAGGGAGAGAGGGAGGGAGGGAGGGAAGGAGGGAAGGAGGGAGGGAGGGACTGCCAAGCTCTGCC